AGAGGAGAATGGAGGAGAAGGGATTGCGGCGTGACCACCCCACCGGGGGGTGATTTCTCACTTTCTGTCTCTCTGTCTCTCTCTGTCTGTCTGGCGAGCTCACGCCCCTATAGTGAAAACCTCTCAAAAAAAAAAAAAGGAAGGAAGGAAGGACAGCTCAGTTGGCCCAGCCAGGAAGATGGTTTCTAGGAGATCAGGGCTGGAAGCTGACCCAAACAGGAACTCTTGCCCCAAACATAGGGATCACCTGACCAGTATGTCTCTGGGCATAACCTGGTTCCATGGGGAGTCCATAGGGAGGGCTGAAAGAATAAGTTGCAAGAGAACATGCCCAGGCTCAACTCCGTTCTATATTTATTAGCGGGTGACCTGGGCAAAGTACTTAACCTTATAACCCTGATGTACCATATCTATAAAGTAGGAATGATACTACTATTCACCTCATAGAACCATTTGAAGGATCAAATGAAACCAAGCATGTAAATGCTTCAGCATAGAGCAAGCATAGGCATTCAGTGAAAGTTACAGCTATAATTAACAACAGTGGCTAGGTCTTCACTGATCCGAGACAGGGTCCTCTCAGGAGTCCACGTAAGCAGTAATTGAAAGTCCATACCAAGAAAGGCAAAATGAGAATGGTACTCCATACCATGGCATTCTGTAGAGTTTTTTTGCTATAGGGTGTATGTGCTCGCAGGAGAGACAGAGAGACACAAGAGAAAAATAACCACGGGATGGCCATGCTACATTCCCTTTTCCTCCATTCTCCTCTTGGGATTTTGGGCACATATGTACACATGTCCAATGTGAGTTTTAAGCTGCCGGGTCCATGACTCGAACTGTGGTTGACTGTGTGGGAGTCTAGCAATGTAACCATTACACCATCTGCTGGTCCTGCTTTTCTTTTTATTTTCTTGTTTTAAATATTTTTAAAGAATTATTTAATTTTATTAATTATTATTATTGTTTTTTAATATGCTATAGAGCACATACACTCAAAGACATACACAGAGAGAGAAAGAGGGAAAAGCAAGAAAGCAAGCTGCCAGGTCCAGAATTTGAACCATGGTCAGCCATGTGGGAGTCCAGCATCCTAACCACCATGCCACCTGCTGGT